ATTCAAATCTATTCACTTTATCATAAGCTTTTTCTAAATCAACAAACATACAATACGTTACCTCACATTTATACATTTCTCAATCTATTGAAGAGCAAAAATGTGATTGCACAGCTCCAGTTATAGTTACTATTCCTGCAGCTTTACCATTTTTCAACATTCTCAGTGCATTTATGACTTCCTTTTCATTCATTTCTTTTTCTTGAACACTAGCGTTTATAGTACTCATTTTGATACAACTTTTCCAATGCATCACTATTATTCTCATAAAAATCTCTAAAATATATTCCTTCTGGCATCCCCTTCATTCAGTTTCATCCCAAAGCATCCCATCACTTTTACTTCTATTCACTGTACTGGAAATTCCTTGTTTAGCTTTCTTCAAAACACATTTTTATTTCTACCAAGATGCTCTGCATTTTCTCTGCCTCTTTGAAGCATTCCTTGCTCGTTGACTACATACTTTTCAACTGTCTTTTTCTATATATACAGTAGCTTTCTCTCATCCTCATATTTGCAGCAATCATTCTATGCATTGTTTTCTCATCCACTGCCTCTTTCACTTCATCATTCCACCAAGCATCTTTGTTCATACTTCCCATTAGCATAATTTGATACACTTCTATGTCATTCTGTAATGTAATTATTTTTGCTCTGTTCCAAGCAGCTTCCATATACTCTTTCCTTATCTCTACTTTATATTCAATCTGTTTGGAGATTAGTCTACTTTTTTTATATATAAGACTCATGCCTTTTCATCTGACAATCATTCTACTTTCATTTTTTTCAGTTCTTTTTTTTTCTGAAGATCGCTTCCTGATACTATCAAAAATGGTTTGTCCCATATTCAAGAACTTCTCATCCTTTCCCCCCTCTTTTTTGTATCTATTTCTTTTAGTAGATATTTGAAAACACAAGAAAAAAAGGCAAAAAAGTACAAAAACAAAGTAGAAAAGAAATTTACAAGCAGTATAAGGTTGAAAAATTTCAAGATGACATTAACTTAGGGCTGTATTTTGTATCAGTTTAAGATTTCAGAACCGTTATTAAAATCAAATCAATATTCAATAATTGATGGAAGTAATCAGTATAATATGAATCAGAATGAAGAATAAACATTTCTAATCTAAAAATTGTATAACTTAATGAATCAAACAAGACCTAATATATTAGGACATTATATTAAGAAAAATCCCAACTTTGCATGCAGTCAATATGTAGAGTTACAATCCATGAATGGTTTCTAAGCTGAACTAAATTGCTATCTGATTTATTTTTCAAGTACAAGGTTATTTTTGATATTGATGCATATTCTTACAGCTAGTTTGCCATACTTCTGTAGATAGAATCATATATGGTTTTCAGTAAAAGGCATAGAGTGTCCTAGTGGCTGTTTCATATATAAAGCCAACTTGACATACTATGTAGGGATATAAAGTTTGGTGATGTTTAACAGAAAATTGGCTGGCAGGAAAGAGCGTTCAACCTTTAAAACATTTTTTTTTTGTAATAACTTTATAAGATTAAAAAAAAACCAATAAAAACTAACCAAAACTAACATGGCAGACTTCCGGTGGGAACAGGGCAGCTTAGACACCTCTCCACGACAGGGAGAGATGACACCGCAGCTGGGTTGGTGGCTGGCAGCAAGCGCTGGCTGCCCAACTTGCTCCAGATAAAGGAAGAAGTGAGGAAATCAACCCATTTGGTCTCCTGACAGCTGTTCCTTGAAAGCTAATCATGGAGACTGAAGCCTCTGCGAACAGCTCTGGTGTGGAGCAGCTGGGAGGAAGGGGAATCATCTTTGTTCACCGCTGCCATGCAGCCTTAATGGACACTAGAGCCAACTGATTCCCATTTCTTAAACACTTTGGATTATAATTATTTTTCAACTTAAGAGACACTTTCCTTCACAACAGATAAGTAAATCTCTTTGGGCTTATCTTTATTTTTGGGACTATGTTTTTAAATGAAGAAATAGAGTTTTAAATTTAGCTGATTAATTCACAAAAAGTTGGAGGAAAAGTGGAATTTAAAAGAGTTAAATTTTACTTATAGTGAAAAGGGAAGATTTATTTGTTAGAACTTTATTTTTTCACGAAACTCCATCTGCAGCAACGAGGTTTATTTTTCTTTGGGAAAGTTTCCTGTTTCAATTCTGTCTGCTGATTGGTGGGGCTTTAGAAACAGAGCTAGACTGTAACTTGATTCCTGTGTGATCTCTTTAGTGAACACACGTGCCTGCAATTTCAGCTTGAAAGGCACTTAGAGGGCGTCAACTGCAGTTTACTTTTGCTTGCAATTAACTGCTATACTTTTTGCTTAAAATAAACGGAAAGAAAAAAAAGATGAAATGGCTAAAAGAGGCCTCTTGGAGCAGCCACTAGAAGATAAAATAACTCCTCTAAGTCTACTCCAGTCAATGTTTGATAAACTAGGAGCTAGATTTAAGTCCCTTGAAAAAAAGATAGAGGAAAAAGTGGATAAGATGATTAACTCTGGAAAAAAGGTGGAGACTGAACTGAATTAGAATTGGAGCTCAAAAAGGAATTGGATTATGAAGGTGATATGAATAAGGAAGTTGTGGATTTAAATATGGACTTAAGATGGTCAAGGGATGATATGAAAAAAAGATGTTAGAATGAAATTACAAATGGAATCATTTGATGTTACACTGTTTAAAGGGGGCATGCAAATAATGGAGAAGAGTGAGCTGGAAAAATTTTATATTTTGGATTTGCAAAAGGAATGTATTGCATCAGTGAGGCCGTTCCTGCGAAGAGATGAAGAGAAAATATTGGAGATGTTTCTGGGAGAAGACAAGAAGATGATGGGAAATCAACTGGTGGGATATTACAAGAAAGGACTAAAGTTTAAGCTTTTTAAAAGTAAACAGAAGGTTTTCAAAGTGAATTTATTGGACTATGGTTAATATATATGTTGAGGCTCTTCGTAGTTATTAATGGGATTTATTTTTATGACCAGGACTGAA